GATGCGTTGATCTACTTATCTCTACTTCTGCAGCATATGTCGAGTCTTGGGGTTTTTGTGTTGTTGTTTGGTAGGAGGGTGTCTCTACTTCTGCAGCATATGTCGAGTCTTGGGGTTTTTGTGTTGTTGTTTGGGAGGAGGGTGTCACTGGTAGGTCCTACTTCTTTTCTTTCCCTCTGTTGTTTCTGTCTGTGTGGGTGGTAGGAGGGTGTCACTGGTAGGTCCTACTTTTTTTCTTTCCCTCTGTTGTTTCTGTCTGTCCGTCTAGTCTTACTAACGTTACTTTTTCCCAGCGCTAAATGACCAACAATTTGTCGATGCGCTTCTCTTTACTCGAACAAACAAACAAACAAACAAACAAACAAATGGTATGTAAAAACCCTCCGTGTCTTCTCCCAGGCTTCGTCCTCGCCATGTCTTTCAAGGCCAAGGACAGGAACGGCAAAGAGATCTGATCGAGAGGGATTTCCTCAACTCACAGCAATCGTTACCTGTTGTGAGACGCTGCCCAACGTATAGTGACCGTCCAGCCAGGGTAGTGTTGTATGTAGTCACCGGGAGTCAGAATAAAAATATGTTGTATGTAGTCACCGGGAGTCAGAATCAAAATATGTATGTGTCACGGCACGCTGGAATGAGGCTCTCGTATATGTATGTGTCACGGCACGCTGGAATCAGGCTCTCGTCAAAAGAATCAAAGTCAAGAAACTGGCATTTTCCCGCAGGTTTGGGGAATGTTGATCGAATTTATGTTTTTTTGGCTCAAACCTTTCACGCCCGTTAAAGAACTCTTTTCTGGGTGGATTTGTCTGAAAAACGTTGATTATGTAATTTTCTGTTGCCACCGACTCTTAAGCTAAGGAAATAACTAATCTTTGGCGGACATTTTCTCACTAATTTTACCTCTGAAAACAAGTAACCCCACCTCCTTCATTCACAAATATATCGACTTGTATTCAAGATAAATGGATATTTTTTCATCAAAATAAAGACAAGCGAACAAGCTAAAAGTTAGTAAAAGATGATACCAATAACTCTACATGTCCAAAAATTGAGGAGAGCCTGATTCCACCACGCTTCCTCACAAATGTTGTTGGTTAACTCACTGAGGATGCGCCATTTTGGAGGAATTTTGAAAAGAGACATAACTTTTTTATTCATGTAGATGGTTCAGTTCTTTTGTAATTGTCGAAAGCTTTAAATGAGGCAGGCAAGAAACAAAACAAAACAAACAAACAAACAAACAAACAAACATACATACAAACACGAATACAATGAAATATGTACAATTCATGTCTGTGATTTGTGTATGATGGTCCAGAATGTGCACAACATTGCCTTTGATGTGCTGATGGTCGGCCAGATATGTATCACGGCGCGGTGGAATCAGGTGCTCGTCAATTTTGGGGCATGTGGAGTTTTTGATATCATCTCAATACATATTCATTTGCCTTGATTTGAAAGAAAAAAATACCCATCAATCTCAAATAGAAGTCTAGATATTTATGATCGAAGGAGGTTGGGTCATCATGTTTCAGTGATAAAATAGTCGAGAAGATAGCCTCCAAATTTGGTACAGTGGAGTCCACTTATAACGAGTCCGGAATAAATGAAAAGTCTGTTACAAAGACACTATTCTGAAACCCCGTTTTTTTCTCTTCTTTACCTTTGTAAATAAAATACTGCTATAGCGCTATCAGACAAACATGACATGCGAGTCGGCTATAGCGCTATCAGACAAACATGAGAGTCGGCTATAGCGCTATCAGACAAACATGCCAGTCGGTTATAGCGCAGTCAGACAAACATGAGAGTCGGCTATAGCGCTATCAGACAAACATGAGAGTCGGCTATAGCGCTATCAGACAAACATGCCAGTCGGTTATAGCGCAGTCAGACAAACATGCCAGTCGGTTATAGCGGAATATTGCTGCTGCTGTACACAGCGCATAGGCCAATTATACATAATGTAAAACCTCGCCAGTTGAGAAAGTTGTTGGTGATCTTGCGGAACAAAGAATAGGAGAGCCCATGTGTGTCAACGATGAAGGCCGGAGCGACTGAGTAGGGAGGGTGTGGCATGCGCAGACAAGCAGAACGCATCGTGTGATAGGCCAGCGTAAGCCTAGTTTAGATTACCAAGGCCTACCATGTGTCTCACTTCTCCGATGCGGGGATGGAGAGGTCACAGCAATGTGATGGATGGAGCGAATGTGTGACGTGCGCAAGCAGATGGAATGCACCACAGGGT